TACCGTGACCTCGACATCCCGCCTTACGGTGCGGTGAGTCTCCCTCTAACGTCCACCTCTGTTTTCGTCGCCACTCCTCTATCTACGGCCCGACGCAACTAACACTTTTGACTTCTCCTCAATGTCGACGAGTCTCCCAACATCTGTCCTGGTACAGTCATCGGGAGGGTAAACCCTTCATGCAAACTGCACCTACTCTCAAGAAGAAGAATACCTTTTTTTCATCGGTTGGTGCTAACCTTGCCAGAAAAATTCCGCAGACTCAGACACATGTTACCACACATCTTTCAGGCAGCTACCAGAACTCTCTTCTCTTCTCACCAGTCAGCCCGACAGATGTTGTGTCCATCATTCACTCACTAAAAACCAAAGCTGGGAACATTAGTGAAGTACCACCCCATGGTATACAAGAGTGCCTCCCATGCCCTTGCGCTACCTATAGCTTTTCTGTTCAACAAATCTCTAGTGTCATACCTTCCCTGATATCCTTGAAAAAGCAAGAGTAACGCCAGTTCATGAAGAAGACAATCCGGAAGACATAAACAATTACCGACCTATATCACATCTACCTATATTATAAAAAATATTTGAAAAAATTATTTACAAACAGCTCTACTCCTATCTCGTAAATTTCAACATACTAAGTCCCTGTCAGTTTGGCTTCCGCTCCCCAAAAAGTACCAAGGATGAAATTGTTAGTCTGTTTGACTTAATCTACTCAGCCCTTGACAAAAAGAAGTTTCCGATTGGACTCTTCATTGACCTAAGAATGGCCTTTGATACTGTTAATCACAACTACCTTTTACTTAAACTCCACCATTATGGAATCCGTGGCCTTGCCCTGAACTATATCCGATCCTATCTTAGTGACAGACACTAATGTGTAGCCATCAATGATATAACCTCTCCCACTCTACCACTAACCGTAGGGGTGCCACAGGGCAGCAGCCTAGGATCTCACCTACTTCTTATATACATCGATGATCTGCCTAATATGTCTAATGCGATTAAACATTTATTGTTTGCTGATGATACTACCCTCATCTACTCAGACCCCAACCCGCACATATTAAATAATGTCGTAAATAATGAATTGAAAAAAGTCCACTTATGGATATCAACTACCAAACTCACACTAAACATAGAAAAGACCTACTAAATCCTATTTGGAAGCAAATCAATAAATGCAATTCAGCCACAGATAGACAATGTTAACATCAGCAATAAAAATAATGGAAGGTTCCATGGATTATACTTAGACAAGAGACTCAACTTCAGCACCCACATACAACACATAACTAAAAAAGTCTCTAAAACAGTTGGTATACTCTCTAAAATCAGATATTATGTACCTTACTCTGCTCTCCTCTCACTCTATTATGCACTTATCTATCCCTATCTTACTTATGATGTCTGTGCATGGAGCTCAACCTCTGCAATCTACCTGAAGTCCATCATCACCCAGCAAAAATCTGCTATCAGAACAATAACAAACTCTGCTTTCAGACAACACACAGCTCCCCTGTTTAAATCCTAAACATGCTAAACATAAATTCACTCCACACATTCTCTTGTGCCAATTACATTTACAAAACCCTTTTCTTAGGTGCAAACCCTGTTCTGAAACTCTTCCTGGACAGATGTAATAGAACACACAATCACCACACCAGACATAAATATCTCTTTGATATCCCCAGAGTCAAACTTAATCTGTGTAAACACTCTATGCAAATAAAGGGACCTAGTCTATGGAACTCACTCCCTAACGAATTGAAAAGCTGTCCAACTTTTGCCTTATTCAAAAACAAAATCAAAAAGTACCTAATTTCATCTTCATAGTTTCCTACCTAGTGCTTTAACTCGCACTGTATCTAGTGCTACCCAATCCCCCAATATATGTACCTAAGCCATATAACTTTACCATTGTAATCTTTGATATCATCTGATATCATGGTTGTTATATTGAGTGCATATTCTACTGCATTATTCCTTGAAATGATCCTCAAATTGTGCTACAATGAACCAATTGATAACCCTGAAATTTTACCCTAATGTACCTAGTAATCCGTGTCATTATAGTGTATTGTTATTATTGTGTATTAATCTAATCTTTGTTTATTGTGTCAAAATTTCTTACAATGTACCTGTAAAATTTTTTTGTCAATTTTACTGGAAATTATCTACTTAAAATTATCTGTTAGATTAAGGACTTACCCGAAACGCTATGCGTGCTAGTGGCTTTACAAGAATGTAAAATCATCATCATTACTATGTACTCTCTTAACCCCCAATGTACCTTCTTGTATATAAATAAATAAATAAATAAATAACCACCCAATGAACACAATAACTACTGTTACGACCCTGGGCCCAAGATTTGCACTCTGAAAGGAACTAGGATCATCGCGCTTTTATTTTCACATGCATCAGGGACCATTCACTCCATTATTTTAGTGATTTAGAAATGACTGTAGAAATTTCCTTTCTACATGGAAAGGATTACATCTTGCACTGATTGGACATCTAACTGGACTTGTCTTCAGGATTGAGGTATGTGTCGTCCTTGCTTAAGCAGGGCCAGTGCTAGTTGATTTTATTATTTTTGTTTTTGAGATATATACAAGAGTTGTTACATTCTTGTACAGCCACTAGTACGCGTAGCGTTTCGGGCAAGTCCTTAATCCTATGGTCCCTGGAATACGATCCCCTGCCGCGAAGAATCGTTTTTTCATCCAAGTACACATTTTACTGTTGCGTTAAACAGAGGCTACAGTTAAGGAATTGCGCCCAGTAAATCCTCCCCGGCCAGGATACGAACCCATGACATAGCGCTCGCGGAACGCCAGGCGAGTGTCTTACCACTACACCACGGAGACTGCTTTAAATATATTTATCGTGTACTTAGAATAAATGTACGATGGAGGCTACAATGCAGGAGCTGGCAAGTAGTCCCTCAGGGGTGGAAATGAAACAACTCAACAATAATCATTTAGTGTTGCTAGGCAATGAGTTTGGTCTAGAATTAACCACAGATGATAACAAATGGCAATTGGTCAATAAAATTCTACACCACTGTAGAAATAGAACTATTGCCAGGTAATATATAGAGTTTTCAAAACCCAGTCAAGCAGAAAGTGAAAGAAAGAACTCCCAATGAACACAAGAACTCCCAATGAACACAAGAACTCCCATTAAACACAAGAACTCCCAATAAACACAAGAACTCCCAATAAACACAAGAACTCCCAATAAACACAAGAACTCCCAATGAACACAAGAACTCCCAATAAACACAAGAACTCCCATTAAACACAAGAACTCCCAATGAACACAAGAACTCCCAATGAACACAAGAACTCCCATTAAACACAAGAACTCCCAATAAACACAAGAACTCCCAATAAACACAAGAACTCCCATTAAACACAAGAACTCCCAATAAACACAAGAACTCCCATTAAACACAAGAACTCCCATTAAACACAAGAACTCCCAATGAACACAAGAACTCCCAATGAACACAAGAACTCCCAATAAACACAAGAACTCCCATTAAACACAAGAACTCCCAATAAACACAAGAACTCCCAATAAACACAAGAACTCCCAATAAACACAAGAACTCCCAATAAACACAAGAACTCCCAATAAACACAAGAACTAACAAGTGAACAAAGGAACCAAAATGATCGTAAGAAACGTCCAAGGAATACAAGAACCTCAATGAACACGGGAACCCGCAATGACCACAGTAACATCCCTTGAACATAAGAAACCACCAATGAGCACCAGAACACAGAAACCGTCCAATCAGCATCGGCAAGTAGGCATCACCTTGAGTGCAACAGAGACGAGCAGCATCTTGGCTGTTTGTAAGTAAACATTCAGTGTAAGTTTTTCATTCTCATTGGTTGAATCACGCGGCAAGGCGATTACGTAGAGAAAGTGAGTAGTTGACTCACAAATGTGTTTATCAGTCCTGGTTAAGGAGGGGAGGGAATTATCAAGAGAAAGCGCCAAGCCATTACGACTATATAGCATTTGGAAGGGGTCAGGATAAGGATTTGGGATGGAACGGGGGGAAAGGAATGGTGCCCTACGACTTGGATGGTCCGGGATTGAACGCCGACCTGCATGAAGCGAGACCGTCGCTCTACCGCCCACCCCAAGTGGCTTATTAAAGAATGATGCCTTACTCTCTGGAAACAATGATACTTAACAACTTCCAGATGCCTCCATAAAGTGGTAAAGGAGGATAGAACTTGCCTCTGACACAGCAGGAACAGCGGTCAGAGGAGCAGAGGTAGGGACGTGTGTCCTCCTCAACGTCACACACAAGACTGCAGCGGCCGCCCATGGCTTGACACAGCCTCGTCTGGGACTGGCATGAAGGTCCTGTTGGAACGCCAGATTTAGATGTTAGTAAAGACCAATTGTAAAATATTTCGCGTTCATAATGTCTTCATCGAGATTTATTCGGAATTCGATAATTGGTTTGTTCAACTTAAGGTCTATGAGCTCCTGGAGGATTATTAAGGTCTATTAACTTTGGAAAGTTATTAAGGGCGCCACATTAGTTCACTGACAAACCAGTAAGTACACTTTACTCCTGAACTCTGTTGTTCAAGACTAAAGTGAACTCTGTATATACACCAAGAAGCTGGGTACACCTCTCAGTGTATGTGTCCCAGTATTCAGTGTATACATCCCTTGATAACTCTCATGCGAGATTTTTCATTCAGTTGTGTTTATATAAAGTCAACATTTGAAGAGAAACTATTGATTACTAAACTATTATGGTATTATTGGGGCCGGGTACCCCCCCCCCTCGTTGTGTATTAGATACTTGAAAATACACCACTTTCTGCAGATGTATAACCAACAATGATTGGAAAAGTATGCTGTAATGTTTAATTTAATATAGTACGACTCCAATCAACACAAGGTCATTGAGCAGCTGACGCAAGATCCTCTTAATCCATCACAACAAATGGCCTGAGAAGCAATGCTGAAGTTGTGACAGGAACTTCCAGGTCTGCGTTATGAGTTGCCAGAGTGGAACAAGACTTACTGGTAACGCAGCAGAAGCAGTGTCTGGTGGAGCAGATGTCCTGGTAATATTCCTCCTCTGTGGTACAGGCGAGGCTGCAGCGGCCGCCCATGGCTCTGCACTCACTCGTCTGCAGCTGGCACCGCGGCTCTGACCACCCACACAAACACACTTGTAAACATTATGAAATATATATACTTTCTGCACTCTCAATTTCTTCTTATTTGATATATTATGGAAATCAATGATTTTTCATTCAATGTAATAATAAATAATTAATAAAATAAACTCTCAGACTTATTTGGTAGATTAAGGACCTGTCCGAAACGCTATGCGTGTTAGTGGCTTTGCAACAATGTAAGAACATCAATGTTATGTACTCTCACAAACCCAATGTACCTTCTTGTATATAAATTATACCTTCTTGTATATAAATAATGTCTTTTTGTATATAAATACTGTAATACCTTCTTGTATATAAGTAATATATATGTTAGTAACTGGCAGACATTCACTTCTTTTCGATCACCTGTGCCTGCAGTATCACACCATTTTCCATACTGCAGGCAGCTCGCGAAGCTTGTTTAAGATACCCACCTTCACTTGGCTTCCATACTGCAGGCAGCTCGCGAAGGTTGTTTAAGATACCCACCTTCACTTGGCTTCCATACTGCAGGCAGCTCGCCAAGGTTGTTTAAGATACCCACCTTCACTTGGCTTGTTAGAACTCCCTTCTGACTATTAGCGTCTGGTCGTACCCACCTTCACTTGGCTTCCATACTGCAGGCAGCTCGCGAAGGTTGTTTAAGATACCCACCTTCACTTGGCTTCCATACTGCAGGCAGCTCGCGAAGCTTGTTTAAGATACCCACCTTCACTTGGCTTCCATACTGCAGGCAGCTCGCGAAGCTTGTTTAAGATACCCACCTTCACTTGGCTTGTTAGAACTCCCTTCTGACTATTAGCGTCTGGTCGTACTGGGTCATTTTAGTTGCCACAAGCTTCTCATAACTGTAAAAGCTTTTAGACCAGAGTTTCTGAACAATGGCTTCGCGGAACCCCAAGGTAAATAGAGGTTCCGCAAGAAATAGTGATAAATAGGCTAATTCTAATCATATGCGAATATATTTTTGAGTCACTTTTGTGTGTAATTCTTCACATTTAACTAGTACCAAAAGCAAAGACAGAAATCGTCTCCTTTCGAATGACAATGAAATTTATGTATGATTATCTAAAGTACGACTCGGAATTATTTCAAGGGCACAAAGGGTGAAACCTTTCTACTACCACCCAGATGATGGGTATGGGGTGCATACTAAACTAACACGAGGATTCAACACATACTGGCATCCCAATACTGTCTCATCTGGTTCTCACACCAGCTCATTCATGCAGCACTCATAAGGGCTTCTGCCGGCTTTGAACTTTGGGAGAGACCTAACTATATGTATTCTTCTATTCCTGGATCATAACAAATGTGGCTTAAGCCGCCCTTCCCAGTTAGGCTTGGTTCACTCCACCCCAACGAATTTCCTTCAAGTTGGCCAATGGCAAGGAAGTACCCACAGGCGCCTCTTGTGAGTCCCTCTCGAGACCTCGTATGTTCCGATGTCAAGAGGGGACCGTCATGTGATGGAGAAGGCAGCCTTTGTCTTAAAAGCTTGTGGTCAGAAGTCCACTGCCCCTCGTCGCACAAGGCTCTCAGCCCAATTCTCTCAAAAAGCACCCCATCCTAGGCCAGCTGATCAACATGATCTAATAAGGTTTTCTCTGCTTATGTGTAATATTTACATTTGTAATAACGAGGGGATCCCAACATTTGTGGTTCCAACATGAAATGGGAATGTTGTTGACCATTCATGCTCTCAATGCACAAATTTCCATTGCAATGTGGTACAGAGTTCAGCTGGGATTATCCACATTTCCGCAGCTTGGGTGCACCTGTGGACCATGAGACGTTCGGGGGTTCTGACAAGCGACAATGTAAGCATAACATGTGATGGTCAGTTCGCCATAGTGTATGTCACGTGGTTGTGGTGAGGTGTAGGTGGGAGGCCGACACCTGGTGTAGGTGGGAGGCCTACACCTGGTGTAGGTGGGAGGCCTACACCTGGTGTAGGTGGGAGGCCGACACCTGGTGTAGGTGGGAGGCCTACACCTGGTGTAGGTGGGAGGCCTACACCTGGTGTAGGTGGGAGGCCTACACCTGGTGTAGGTGGGAGGCCTACACCTGGTGTAGGTGGGAGGCCGACACCTGGTGTAGGTGGGAGGCCGACACCTGGTGTAGGTGGGAGGCCGACACCTGGTGTAGGTGGGAGGCCTACACCTGGTGTAGGTGGGAGGCCGACACCTGGTGTAGGTGGGAGGCCGATACCTGGTGTAGGTGGGAGGCCTACACCTGGTGTAGGTGGGAGGCCGACACCTGGTGTAGGTGGGAGGCCGACACCTGGTGTAGGTGGGAGGCCTACACCTGGTGTAGGTGGGAGGCCTACACCTGGTGTAGGTGGGAGGCCGACACCTGGTGTAGGTGGGAGGCCGACACCTGGTGTAGGTGGGAGGCCGACACCTGGTGTAGGTGGGAGGCCTACACCTGGTGTAGGTGGGAGGCCTACACCTGGTGTAGGTGGGAGGCCTACACCTGGTGTAGGTGGGAGGCCTACACCTGGTGTAGGTGGGAGGCCTACACCTGGTGTAGGTGGGAGGCCGACACCTGGTGTAGGTGGGAGGCCGATACCTGGTGTAGGTGGGAGGCCGATACCTGGTGTAGGTGGGAGGCCGATACCTGGTGTAGGTGGGAGGCCGATACCTGGTGTAGGTGGGAGGCCTACACCTGGTGTAGGTGGGAGGCCTACACCTGGTGTAGGTGGGAGGCCGACACCTGGTGTAGGTGGGAGGCCGACACCTGGTGTAGGTGAGAGGCCTACACCTGGTGTAGGTGGGAGGCCGACACCTGGTGTAGGTGGGAGGCCGACACCTGGTGTAGGTGGGAGGCCTACACCTGGTGTAGGTGGGAGGCCGACACCTGGTGTAGGTGGGAGGCCGACACCTGGTGTAGGTGGGAGGCCGACACCTGGTGTAGGTGGGAGGCCGACACCTGGTGTAGGTGGGAGGCCGACACCTGGTGTAGGTGGGAGGCCGACACCTGGTGTAGGTGGGAGGCCTACACCTGGTGTAGGTGGGAGGCCGACACCTGGTGTAGGTGGGAGGCCGACACCTGGTGTAGGTGGGAGGCCGACACCTGGTGTAGGTGGGAGGCCGACACCTGGTGTAGGTGGGAGGCCGACACCTGGTGTAGGTGGGAGGCCGACACCTGGTGTAGGTGGGAGGCCTACACCTGGTGTAGGTGGGAGGCCGACACCTGGTGTAGGTGGGAGGCCGATACCTGGTGTAGGTGGGAGGCCGATACCTGGTGTAGGTGGGAGGCCGAGACCTGGTGTAGGTGGGAGGCCGATACCTGGTGTAGGTGGGAGGCCTACACCTGGTGTAGGTGGGAGGCCTACACATGGTGTAGGTGGGAGGCCGACACCTGGTGTACGTGGGAGGCCGACACCTGGTGTAGGTGGGAGGCCGACACCTGGTGTAGGTGGGAGGCCGACACCTGGTGTAGGTGGGAGGCCGACACCTGGTGTAGGTGGGAGGCCGACACCTGGTGTAGGTGGGAGGCCGACACCTGGTGTAGGTGGGAGGCCGACACCTGGTGTAGGTGGGAGGCCTACACCTGGTGTAGGTGGGAGGCCGACACCTGGTGTAGGTGGGAGGCCGACACCTGGTGTAGGTGGGAGGCCGACACCTGGTGTAGGTGGGAGGCCGACACCTGGTGTAGGTGGGAGGCCGACAACTTGTGTAGGTGGGAGGCCGACACCTGGTGTAGGTGGGAGGCCTACACCTGGTGTAGGTGGGAGGCCGACACCTGGTGTAGGTGGGAGGCCGACACCTGGTGTAGGTGGGAGGCCTACACCTTTTGGTGGGAGGCCGACACCTTTTGGTGGGAGGCCGACACCTGGTGTAGGTGGGAGGCCGACACCTGGTGTAGGTGGGAGGCCTACACCTGGTGTAGGTGGGAGGCCAACACCTGGTGTAGGTGGGAGGCCGACACCTGGTGTAGGTGGGAGGCCGACACCTGGTGTAGGTGGGAGGCCGACACCTGGTGTAGGTGGGAGGTCTACACCTGGTGTAGGTGGGAGGTCTACACCTGGTGTAGGTGGGAGGCCGACACCTGGTGTAGGTGGGAGGCCGACACCTGGTGTAGGTGGGAGGCCGACACCTGGTGTAGGTGGGAGGCCTACACCTGGTGGTGGGAGGTCTACACCTGGTGTAGGTGGGAGGCCGACACCTGGTGTAGGTGGGAGGCCTACACCTGGTGGTGGGAGGTCTACACCTGGTGTAGGTGGGAGGCCGACACCTGGTGTAGGTGGGAGGCCTACTCCTGGTGTAGGTGAGAGGCCTACACCTGGTGTAGGTGGGAGGCCTACACCTGGTGTAGGTGGGAGGCCGACACCTGGTGTAGGTGGGAGGCCGACACCTGGTGTTGGTGGGAGGCCTACACCTGGTGTAGGTGGGAGGCCGACACCTGGTGTAGGTGGGAGGCCGACACCTGGTGTAGGTGGGAGGCCGACACCTGGTGTAGGTGGGAGGCCGACACCTGGTGTAGGTGGGAGGCCGACACCTGGTGTAGGTGGGAGGCCGACACCTGGTGTAGGTGGGAGGCCGACACCTGGTGTAGGTGGGAGGCCTACACCTGGTGTAGGTGGGAGGCCTACACCTGGTGTAGGTGGGAGGCCGACACCTGGTGTAGGTGGGAGGCCGACACCTGGTGTAGGTGGGAGGCCGACACCTGGTGTAGGTGGGAGGCCTACACCTGGTGTAGGTGGGAGGCCTACACCTGGTGTAGGTGGGAGGCTTACACCTGGTGTAGGTGGGAGGCCGACACCTGGTGTAGGTGGGAGGCCGACACCTGGTGTAGGTGGGAGGCCTACACCTGGTGGTGGGAGGCCGACACCTGGTGTAGGTGGGAGGCCGACACCTGGTGTAGGTCGGAGGCCGACACCTGGTGTAGGTGGGAGGCCTACACCTGGTGTAGGTGGGAGGCCTACACCTGGTGTAGGTGGGAGGCCGACACCTGGTGTAGGTGGGAGGCCGACACCTGGTGTAGGTGGGAGGCCGACACCTGGTGTAGGTGGGAGGCCGACACCTGGTGTAGGTGGGAGGCCGACACCTGGTGTAGGTGGGAGGCCGACACCTGGTGTAGGTGGGAGGCCGACACCTGGTGTAGGTGGGAGGCCTACACCTGGTGGTGGGAGGTCTACACCTGGTGTAGGTGGGAGGCCGACACCTGGTGTAGGTGGGAGGCCTACACCTGGTGGTGGGAGGTCTACACCTGGTGTGACACGTATCACTGTCTGCTGAAGGGAACACCAACACAGGTAGAAGATGCAACTTTATGGGGCAATTACTAATTACAACCAATTTCCATTACCTGAATCATATTAGTATTTAACAAGCTGTCAGCGAACACTTGGTGCAGGATCCTCTTAATCCATCACAACAAATGGCCTGAGAAGCAATGCTGAAGTTGTGACAGGAACTTCCAGGTCTGCGTTATGAGTTGCCAGAGTGGAACAAGACTTACTGGTAACGCAGCAGAAGCAGTGTCTGGTGGAGCAGATGTCCTGGTAATATTCCTCCTCTGTGGTACAGGCGAGGCTGCAGCGGCCGCCCATGGCTCTGCACTCACTCGTCTGCAGCTGGCACCGCGGCTCTGACCACCCACACAAACACACTTGTAAACATTATGAAATATAAAACGTCCCTCTTTGCATTTTTATTATAATATTCAAAATCGATGTCCTTTTCACTCTGTATTTTCTCTGGGCTTTTATTCTAAAGACATCTAAAGATATATTGGTGTTAAACTGTACAAGGCTCTGGTGCGCCCCCATTTGGAGTATAGTAATAATCTAATAATTCATTGTGTCGGAGGACAGGTTGCCAATATTATATATATATATATATATATATATATATATATATATATATATATATATATATATATATATATATATATATATATATATATATATATATATATATTAAATATGACCGAAAAAGTAAGATTAATAATTCTAACACGAATTTTCTCTATCTTTCGTACATTTCTTTTCACTGCTGGTGGTAATTCAAAAATCAATTCTCCAAAATTCATTTTTATTTCTAGTCTGACGCGACACTTGAGCGCGTTTCGTAAAACTTATTACATTTTCAAAGACTTTAGTTTACACATACACAACTGAATAGAACTTACACATCTCCGATTTGTTTATATCTACATTTGAGTGAGGTGGATGGGGTGAGGTGGTATTAATAGGGTATTAAATTCATCAACACAAGACAGAACACGAAACAATGGGTATTGAATGGAAGTGATTGTAGAAAGCCTATTGGTCCATATTTCTTGATGCTTCTATATTGGAGCGAAGTCTTGAGGTGGGTAGAATATAGTTGTGCATTAATTGGCTGTTGATTGCTGGTGTTGACTTCTTAATGTGTAGTGCCTCGCAAACGTCAAGCCGTCTGCTATCGCTGTATCTATCGATGATTTCTGTGTTGTTTACTAGGATTTCTCTGACGATGGTTTGGTTGTGGGAAGAGATTATATGTTCCTTAATGGAGCCCTGTTGCTTATGCATCGTTAAACGCCTAGAAAGAGATGTTGTTGTCTTGCCTATATACTGTTTTTTTTTTTTAGCTTACAGTCCCCAAGAGGGAATTTGAAGGCATAGACGACGTTGGTCTCTTTTAAAGCGTTTTGCTTTGTGTCTGGAGAGTTTCTCATGAGTAGGCTGGCCGTTTTTCTGGTTTTATAGTAAATCGTCAGTTGTATCCTCTGATTTTTGTCTGTAGGGATAACGTTTCTATTAACAATATCTTTCAGGACCCTTTCCTCCGTTTTATGAGCTGTGGAAAAGAAGTTCCTGTAAAATAGTCTAATAGGGGGTATAGGTGTTGTGTTAGTTGTCTCTTCAGAGGTTGCATGGCGTTTCATTTTCCTTCTTATGATGTCTTCGACGAAACCATTGGAAAAGCCGTTGTTGACTAGGACCTGCCTTACCCTACAGAGTTCTTCGTCGACTTGCTTCCATTCTGAGCTGTGGCTGAGAGCACGGTCGACATATGCGTTAACAACATTCCTCTTGTACCTGTCTGGGCAGTCGCTGTTGGCATTTAGGCACATTCCTATGTTCGTTTCCTTAGTGTAGACTGCAGTGTGGAAACCTCCGCTCTTTTCCATGACTGTTACATCTAGAAAGGGCAGCTTCCCATCCTTTTCCATCTCGTAAGTGAAACACAGCACGGAACTCTGCTCAAATGTCTCCTTCAGCTCCTGCAGATGTCTGACATCAGGTACCTGTGTAAAAATGTCGTCAACATACCTGCAGTATATGGCCGGTTTCAAGTTCATGTCGACTAAGACTTTTTGCTCGATGGTACCCATGTAGAAGTTTGCAAACAGGACACCTAGGGGAGAACCCATGGCGACCCCATCTACTTATACATGTGCCCATCCGGGCTCAAGAAGGGTGCCTCTTTAGTACAAGCTTGGAGTAGTTTCCTACCATACTGTCCCGCGAGCTCAAAGCGGCAGCTAAAAGCCTTCGTGAGAACAAGGAGATAGTTGTCAGGAGAGGTGACAAGTCGCCAATATACGTCATTCTTAAAAAAGACGAATATCTGGCGAAAATGAACCTCATACTCTCTGACCAAACTAAATTCCAAAGGGTAACGAAGGACACTACAGCCGAATTGAAAGCAAAGGTCAACAAACTGATCGAAACTGTGAACGCCAAGAAATCAGGACTCCACCTGCCAAATATTATTGGGGAATATAAACCTGGATATGCGTATGGAAATGTCAAGACACACAAGCCTGGAAACCCACTTCGGCCAATCATTAGCCAGATACCCACACCCACGTACAGACTGGCGAAGCGACTCAACGGCCTGCTGACGTTTGACGTTTGCGAGGCACTACACATTAAGAAGTCAACACCAGCAATCAACAGCCAATTAATGCACAACTATATTCTACCCACCTCAAGACTTCGCTCCAATATAGAAGCATCAAGAAATATGGACCAATAGGCTTTCTACAATCGCTTCCATTCAATACCCATTGTTTCGTGTTCTGTCTTGTGTTGATGAATTTAATACCCTATTAATACCACCTCACCCCATCCACCTCACTCAAATGTAGATATAAACAAATCGGAGATGTGTAAGTTCTATTCAGTTGTGTATGTGTTGTCACGTGGGGGTGGGCGGTCCGGGGCTCTGCTAACACTCGGCTGCTAGGGGCTCAAAGGGCCCAAATACTCAGTCCCTCCGACTCCCTGGATTCACTGGAGTCTCCTTGGTCACACAAGATAGGACCAACAATGCCCACCTCCGCAGGTCTTTGCTTCCACCACAAAGGGGTGCCACTGATTCACCCTGGAAGCCCTTCAGTCAACCACGGGGAAACTGCTGTTAACAGTTCCGGCCTAGACCCGTGGGGGAGTGAAGGAAGACTCAGGCTTACCTATAACCATAACCTCCCTGAGTCTTGCCTGCCAGACAAAAAAAGGTTGCAGGAACTCCTTTCCCGCCTGTCTTCTCTATCTTCCTCTTAGCAAGGTCGCCAGCTGGGTTATTATATCTGCACCCCAGCAATGCAGTTCAGTGGGTGTATCATATATCGTTTGTAGCCAGAAATGTATGCTCAATGAGAAATATCACAAATGGAGGCACACTCAAACACAGTAATAAAATGTGTGGATTTACTGACGCAAATTACATGAACACACACACACAATCACAAGTAATACATGAATATGGAATATGGATAATGAGTCTGGAGATCGTCAGCCTCTTCTTCCACGACCTCCAACTCTCCTTCAACTGGGCAGGAAGACAGGAGTCTCACACTCTCACAGGAGGGCCTCTTCACCACGTCGGCACCTCTTCTTCACTGTCCTGCCATCCATACACACTGTCCTCTCTGACAGTCCTGGACCCAAGCTGCTTTGCAGCCTATTCTACTATTAAAGTAATAAAGTCTTGCTGCCACATACACAAGTAAATATTGTGGCCTAACTAGCCTACTCATACAAGGGGTAATGGGAGGGAAAATGATCTACCTTACACTCCTGGCTCACGACGCCTGTCCCTCGATGGTGTGAGGTTCCCACGCTTCCTTGGGTCGATCCTCGACGATCCGGGGCGTTCCACAGGTCCTCAGGTGTCGTGAAGCCTTCGCGTCGTCGCCGTTCCAATCCCTGAGATTCAGCTGCCCCAATCCTGGTTCATCGATGGGCGCTGAGCTAATCTCTATTTTTCCCCACACTCGCTTCTCCCACAGGGCGTCGCTCCTTGTCCTAGGCACGGTGTCATCCTTCCAAGATTCTCAGTGGATGTGACCCCAGTCACAGCTAGCTTGTTCGCCCACCTTCCAGACCTCAACGTCCAGCCAGCGGCGCCGCCCAGCGTCGTCGCCGACTATTTTCCAAGTTTGGGCACTTCTCTGCTCACTGAACTTGGTTCCTCTTTTGCTTCCCAGAAGCGCAGGGTCTCCAATAACTGCGGTAGGCTGCGCAGGCCAGCTCAATCCACTGAACAAGGCTTGCAGAGCCTCCAATCTTTGAGAGCAGACCGAGGCGCGTCCTGTCGCTTCCACGGTCAGTACAACTCTGACGTTGGCGCCGCCCGGGGCACTCGGTGACGTCATGGCGGGCCCTGATTTGTCGCCCGCGACCTACGTCGGCCAATCCGGGATCGGCTTGTCTCCCTTCCAAAAGGTCATATCTGCCGTAGGGGATACTGTTTCATTTTATAACAGGGCGCCAATTTTCCTTTATTTACAACTTATAATATAACCTCCTTCCATAAAATGGCAGCCGGTCTGGTCGCCACATATATCATTAGACTCCCTGAACCTCAGAGAATCAGTAGGGAGAGCTGATATGACTCTTTAAGCCGGCAAACGAAAGAAATAGGAGAGGGCACCGTAACATACCCCTCCCCTTAAAATAAGAGTCATATCGGAAGAGCAGCACTCAAGAGGGCAATCTATACTCTTGCTCCCTCCGTTCCTGAAGTGTCACTCCTCCAGTTGGTGACGTGGCTCGTACCACCTTGCCAGTCACTTGCCTCATTGTATCTCCACCTCGCATAGTACCGGGTGTGATGGGTGTTCCCTGAACACCTACAAGAAATCCTCTCTCCGTGGCTACGAGTGTACTCCCACGGCTCGTTACCACTGTAAGATTCAGTGCATGCAGCGCCTCCACCGCGTCGTGCACTCCGAGATAGTCTTGCATTTCCATTGCGTCCTACAGGTACTCCATGTTTCCTCCCCTGATCTCCTCTTCGCCAATCTTCTCTCTTCTCGGTTCCTCTTCTCCCGTAGGTGCGTTGTCTCCTCACAGTGGCACTTGTAACCTGTACTCCATCCAGCAGCTCCCTCTCTTCCACACTAGGCTTTTGCGATGGCCCAATGCCCCTCTGGTTAGGCTGGCGCCTACCCTGGGTGTACCTATTCCCTGCTTTCTTCGTATTGCCTCTCTTATACCACTCGCTCCTTCGTTCCCGACGAACATCTTCACTCCTCCATGAGATTTTCTTCCCTGCAGACGTCTTCTTCGGTTCGTGGTTGGGCTCTTCCACCTCCCTGTGGCTCACCTCACTACGGTGGTTCGTCTTGCACCTACCACTATTCATCTGGCC